ATCCCACAGTATTTAGCAGAGAAGAATCCCAGTGTTGATTATTTTCCACTTTGCTTTATTTATTTTCTATTATTATTATTTTCAAAGTTAACCTTTGATAACTTTGGATAACTTTTATTACTACCAGAGGTTTCTCTCATCAGTACGGTTCTGACTGCAATACCTTCTTCAGACTGCACAGGGAGCTGAAGATCCAGAAATCAGTAGGCTGGGAAGGTAGGGGGAATGACTTTCACCAAGAAAATCCTAATGCCTTAACATAAACCAAGGGTACTGAATTTAATTATTGCCGTTTATAGACCCAAATCATAGAGCTGCCCAACATCTAGACAGTCTCTCTTACTAATTATAAATTAGTAAAAACTTATCAGTTACCAAAAACAAAAAACAAAAAAACAAAACAAAACAAAACAAACCTTTACCAAATATTGTTTTATACAATGTCAACAATGCTTTCAACAAATCTAAAAATATCTTAACTGCATGCCACTTTTAAGCTTTAATTTAAGATAAACAAAAATGGAAACAATAATTTTGTTTCCAAATAGTTGTAGACAAAGTAAGTTTACAGATTAGGTGAAAGGAACAATCCAAATGACAGCCCTGCCTTAGTTTAAAGCTAGGTTCTCTTTTCTGCTTATTATGGATCTTTGATAAGAAATACAATTGCTGAGAAGTCTGTTTTGCTTGCTGTTTGCTATGAGCATTGTGAGGCCTTTCCTGAATGTAACCCGCTGTGTAGTAGAATGGGTTGTAAACCCTCCTAAATGTAGTCTGATATGTAATGGAATGAATGATTGTACATAAACTAACCGGCATTTCTCGCTTCCCTAAACCTGCTTGCTTAGCACATTCCTCACCTACCCCCTTCCCCTTCCCCCTTTTTCCTCCCGCCACAAGTAACGACAAAGCCTTCCCGCCAAAGGACAGACAAAGGACGCCCAATCAGAGAACAACAAATGTCCTTACTTTAAAATCAACTAATCAGGCCCCTCATACTTTGAAACCTCCCTGTGCTATTTGTCTGTCTATAAAAACACTGTACCAACCCTGATCGGGACCTCTTAGCGTCACCTGCAACGAGTGCCCAGAGGTCCAGGTTCGAACCTGCAATAAACGACCCTTGCCGCTTGGCTTTGACTTACGACTCTGGTGGACTTTTGTGGGAGGTTTCGGAACTTCAGGCATTACATAGAAAGAAAATTTCCTTAGGCAAAATTAAGTGAGCCAGCCAGAAGAGGGTAGCAGCAGGAATTCACACTATCATTTAGTACCAACTCACTGAGTAAGAAACCTGACTTAAACACATGCCAAACTCTTAGAAGGAAACATTTTGACTCCTTGCTATCATTAAAGGAAAAATTCTCACAGCCAGCAATCTGTCAAGGAGAAGATGGAAATTGTGTTGATTCAGAAGGAAATACAAGGCAAAACTTTCCGTGGCATTTTGGAGAGAAATTTATCTCTCAGCGTTTCTAAGGAGGAAATTAACTCTTAGAAACAAGAGGTATTCAGAAACCTGCCAAAAGACATGCTTGTGTAATCGGGATGCTTGGAAATCCGAACATATTTTGGCCTTCCAACAGAGCACAATGCCCAGGCCTGGTTGAGCTCTCTGCAAATCACCCAGAAAAGGGGAGCTAGACACGGATCTTACAGGTGCACAGCGCTGACACTCAGCGAGCAATGCACAGTGTGGGTGTAGTCTGGAAGTCTAGTGCTGTGACGGACTTCCGCCTGAAGAGGAGTACGTCTGCACTGAGGACTAGGTTAAGGTTGTGAGGTGGAATCACCTGTGGGCTGGGCAAAGGCCCAGTGATAACATGGGGGTTCTCAGAAATATAAATTGAAGCCTTAAAATAAGGAGTACCTTCTCCTCTGCGTTGGGCATGTTTTCAAGCTATCCTGCCTGGAAATGAGGTAATTATGGAGGAAGGGAGTAGAGCACACAACTCTTGCTAAAGCTGAGCTCAGAAAGAAAAAAAAAAAATTCATGCGCTCCATTTGGGGGTGGGGGTAGAGGCAGCAGAGGGGAAAGTGCTACTGAGCTCTAAAGATCATCAGAAAAAAGTCATCAACTACAAACCAGACACAATGACACAATTTATGTGATTCCTTACACCTGGCAGTTTCCAGGGGCACCTGAGTGGTACAGTTGGTGAAGCGTCCAACTCTTGATCTCAGCTCAGGTCCCGATCTCAGATCTCACAGCTCGTGAGTTCAAGTTCCAGATCAGGCTCTGTGCTGACAGCTTGGAGCCTGCTTGGGATTCTGTCTCTCCCTTTCTCTGCCCCTCTCCAACCTGTTCTCTCTCTCTCTCTCTCTCTCTCTCTCTCTCAAGTAAAACTTAAAACTTAAAAAAAAAAAAAAAACCCTTGAAGTTTCTAGTATTTGTTATTTTTACCATTTCATTTTTCTGTTTACTGTGGCTGCATAACAAACCACTCCCAAGTGAGGGGCATGAAACAACCAGTATATGATGCTCTTGGAATCTGCGGGCTAGAAATTTGGACAGGACACAGGGGACGGGACACAGGACACACTGCGCTTCACAGTATTTGGGCCCCCAGGTGGATGACTAGAAGACTGAGGACGGTTTGAAGGTGGAAATCTAGAGTCATCCAAGGGTTCATTCGCTTCCATGGCAGCTTCCAACTAGAGCACCTACATATGGCCTCTCCGTGAGGCCTGGCGTTCTCACTCGCAGCATGGTGGCCTCAGAGCAGGTGGCATTTTTACGTGGTGACTCAGTATACAAGGTAACAGTTGCATCACCCCCTCTAGCCTTCCCTCAAAGCTCACGCAGCATCACTTCTGCTGGGTGCTATTGATTACGGGCATGTCACAGGCCCACCAATACCACAAGTGAGGACACAGCCTGCACTCCTTGAGGACAGGCACGTCAGAGCCACATTGGAAAGGAGCCTATGAGATGGAAGATTTTGTGCCTTGTTTGGAAAATGCAGCCTGATGCACTCCTGTTTCACTGCGGTGACTACAGATACAACTTTTAGAATAAGTCATGCCTGTGTGGGAAAATTAACTTTTTAACAAAACAAGGAAAGTAGCCCTGCAATCTCCAAGGCACCAGACTCCTGCAGGGGATAATGGAGAGAGAGCACTGGGCTGGCCTGGGCTGAGAAAGTGACTCTGACAATGAGCACTAGGAAAGCTTGTGACTGACAGGACTGTGCCCTCTTACTGCAGCAGGCAGTGTGACAGGGTGAGGGGTCTCTCACAAGTTTCCAGACTACTCACTTCTGTTCTTTCATACTGATGGGGTTTGGGGGTCATGGGGGTCTGGAGCTGACTGCCAAGAAGGAATTCTTGAGGGGTCTTTGGTGCAAAAAGGTGATCCTATGAAAGCACAGGGACAGAACCCTTGGAGAGTAAATGCTGCACTGGGGTTGTGCAGAGTGACTGGTTATATACTATGGAGTTGGGGGGAGGCCTCCAGAGGGACTTTGATATGCTAAAGGGGATGCCTAAGATACCTGAGGCCTTGCTATTGTCAAGCGAAGGTTGTTTTCCCTCTAGTAAGGCATTAACATTATGACCGAAGGGGGTTCCTGGAGAAATGGTACACTCTGTATTTGCCTCAAGTACTTGTAAAGGGGCTGCAGATTATAAAGAAATGTAATTTTACCTGCCATTTCCTTCTTGCCTTTGTTCCCCACATCACGAAGGAGGGAAGGGTAATATTAGGGCTCCAGGAAACTGAGTCCACAGGTTTCTGGAGATTAGGCTACTGATAAGATTGCCTTTTTATTACAATTTACTAAGACATTTGTAAACTTACTAAGACATTTGTAAACTCCTGTCCTGCACGACTATAATTTCTATCCGTTAACCATCTGTTTCCCCTTTCCTTTGTTCTTGGGCAGCCAGAAGTGCCTGAGAAATATCACACATACCCCACCTGAGGTGGGGTGGGGGAGGGGGGATGCAGGGTGTCAGCTTGCCTTATGCTCCCTCATCAATATGATCTGAATGCACCTGCAATGTCACTTCCCTGGTCTTGATATCGTGACTAATAAACTCAGGGTACCTTGTTAAGGCTCAAATCTATGTCACTCAGTTTAGAGAGCTTGTTTGATGTGATCAGGAGGGCTTTAAAATTAAAATTCAGGGAAGTGGAGGAAGTGTGGATCTGAAATATAAAACAGGATGTTGAATGGAAATAATACATAGTCCTGTGACTTCTGATGGACTTCCACTAGTGCAGAGAGTTTGAGATGACAAATAAATTTACTCCCTTAATAAAAAGTAATAAAGCTGGTGTCCTCCCTTTCTCCCTCCCTCCCTCGCTTCCTCCTGTCCTGTTTCCCATAAACCTCTCCTTTCCTGGACTCCCTCTATTTGTCAGTGAAGCAGGATCCATGGAAACTGATACTTAGATCCTTACCCTCTTGTTAAACAGATCACACCCCTCTCCCACACCTTCTTCAAACACACAACAATTACATTTTCTAGATTCTTCTGATAAAGGAGTTAAGAGCTGCAGTCCTTAGGATAAGATTAACCGGCCACACCTGTAACAACTCCTCTTTAAACTAGCCTCAGAGGAGGAGCAATGGAAGGCCCCTCAGATAAGGCCCAAAGCCAAGGTCAGTCATCTCAGCTTCCACTAGAGAACAAAGAATGAGAGAGGCTTTAGAGAGTGTAAGGACAAACTCTCTCATATCACAATTCTGTCCTTCAGTAACCTAACATTGCTGGATAGAGCTTATACAACCAATGTCATGTGCTCCACCCTTTTAGCCCCAGCTTCGTTACCGTAAGACCTCTACATGCAAGGAAATATTTTGGCTAGCCAGAAGAGGAAACAACTGAATCACAAGAGATATAAAGAACGATAAAACCATGAGAAAGTCACTGCAAACTGAGAGTTCATTTTTCAGTAGCATGAACAACATTTAGTTGCCTTAAAACAAAGACATTGACATTTTGACATTTTATGTCTTCCCGAGCAAAGCCCTCAGCCTTCAGAAGCCTCATACCATGCATTTGTCCTAAAGTTCTGGTGATATCCTGAATGCAGAGTCTCAGTCGCTGCAGGGCTTGAAGCAACGAGTTCTGGCTGGGCTGCAAGATGGCATTCACTGCCTGAACAAGTGCCTGAAGAGGAGATTCATTCACTCAATTCATTAACATTCAGTCCACTGAGGTAGAGCAAAAAAGCTGTGGGAATCTAGAAAAAGGGTACCCATCTGACTGCTGGATTGTTAGGCAGGGCTCCCCAGGGGCATTCCTAAACTAAATATCCTGTGAGGTTTTCCTGAGAGCCAGAATCTTTCTGGGCACCCTTCAGATCCCTAGTTAAGACTTTCTGGAGCTTTTCCACTGACTGCTACTTCTTATACCTCTCAAGGGCATAACTCTAATCAATTTTGTTCTTTCTTCTGGATTTATCTCATATTATTGATGGGGTTTTGGAGTGGTGGGGGTCTGGAGTCAATGGCCAAGAAAGAATTGTTGAGATGTCTTTGGTGCAAAAAGGTGATCCTATGAAAGCACAGGGACAGGACCCTTGGGCACTGGGGTTGTACAGAGTGACTGGTTATATACTATGGAGTTGGGGGGAGGCCTCCAGAAGGACTTTGATATGCTAAAGAGAACGTCTAAGATGCCTGAGGCCTTGCTGTTGTCAAGCTAAGGTTGTTTTCCCTCTAGTAAGGTATTAACATTATGACAATAGGGGGTTCCTGGAGAAATGGTCTGCTTTGTATTTGCCTTAAGTATTTGTCAATGGGCTGCAGGTTATAAAGAAATGTAATTTTACCTGCCGTTTCCTTCTTGCCTTTGTTCCCCACATCACTGTGGAGGGGAAGGTGATATTAGGGCTCCAGAAAACTGAGTGCACAGGTTTCTGGAAATTAGGCTATTGATAAGATTGCCTTTTTCTTGTAAAGACCTTTGTAAGACCTTTGTAAACTGATGGAGACTCATGTCCTGTATGACAGTAATTTCTATCAGTTAACTATCTGTTTCCCCTTTCCTTTGTTCTTGGGCAGCCAGGAGTGCCTGAAAAATATCACACATATCCCACTTGGGGAGGGGGTGGGTTGTGCTAGCTTGTGTTTGGCCCTCAGCTTGCCTTATGGTCCCTCATCATTATGATCATTTCTACTTCTAGGACCTTGAACTAGGGCAGCCTCACTACTGAGCTCTGTTGTACATAAAATCAGACAGATTCTGTAGATCCCGTAGCATCAGAGCTCCATTCACCAGGAAGACTTCCTTGTCCTCTGGCAGTCTCTACCTTATTTGAGCTATAATTTGAAGACCAATGCTTTACTCTGTATCTTTCAGTGAACTAAACACATGAAGGAGAAGTAAAGTAAGCATATAGTTTCACTTTTGAGACTGAAAGAGGGTGCTAAGGTAATCATCCCATGATCTGGTCACTCTACTGAGGACACAGTAAGCACTCAAAGAATGTTCACCAGGGAAGGTAGTGAGGAAAGACTTAAATCTAATCTAAAATCTTTGTGCAAGGCAAGCATTCCCTAGATGATCATCTGTCACTACATCTTCATTTGCTTTACACCTGAACTTTCTGTTATCTACCTGACCCCTGAAGGAGTTCAAATATGCAAGCTCAGGGCTAGGTATTCTCAATGAGGGTTCACTGTCCTCTGAAGAGGGTTCACTGTTTTCTGAGGCTTTTGCATAACAGTTTTCTCTGCCAGGAATGAATACCCACTTCCATTCTTACTTCCTGCTTAATTCCCATACATCACTCAGATTTTAACTTCAGCTGTCATTTCCCTTTGCCTGATCCTGCAAGTCTGGATTAGGTCTTAGATGTTTTTTCATGAAAAACACTGGGTTTTTGTTTTTGTTTTTGTTTTTCTTGTTACCCCATGCATCAGTCCATCTTTCTCTACTGGATGGTGAGCTTCTATAGCATCCAGAGCAGTATCTGTCTTGTTCTCCCAGACATACATTATTCAGAACAAGACATGTCAGTTGAATGGTTGAATGGTCATTCCAAGTGATGCAGTAGTTGAAGAAAGGGAGAGCTGTGGGCTAGAGATCAGACCTCTTTTCCCAGACATACACCAAGTAGGACAAGGCCGATACTCATCTATATTTATTAGTTCTCTACAGGGAAAGGGACTTGGTGGGAAGTAAAGCTCAGACTAATTTCTCATTTAGGACAAAAAAAAAAAAAAAAAAAAGCCATGAAGAAAATACCTTAATCCCAGGTACTGCTGCCTTCTCCACCAAAACAGTCACCAGTATAAAGCCACGCAGGCTTTCTTCCCCAGGAAATGAGAAAATGACGTCCAAGTTCCTTGGGAAGGAAATGACCACATGTTTAGAGAGGTTTGTACACTGTGGTGTGAGCAGGGCCCAAAGACCACCTCAGAGCCAGACAAATGCAAGAGCAAGTAGACTCGAAGAAAACCCCTCTCATCTCTGTAGAATAGCTCTGAGGAGGAGAATCTGCCTCCAGCTCTGCTCCAGAAAGGAAAGAGAGCAGACCTATTCAACACCATGGTCAAGGACCAGAGGACTCTCAAAGTCTAGCATGGCCTCCCAGTGGAACAGCTGACATATAACTGGGCAGGCACTGCTGATTCTCCACAGGGCCAGTCTGTGGCCCATCACACCATCCCCGTCAGGAGCAGGGGCAGTCTTAGAGGTATAGTGACCACAGACAACAGCTAATTTCATGCTCCTTTTTTAGACTTGAAACTATGGCCCAAGGAAGCAAAATGGTTTCCCCAAAGTCATGCAGCTGATTAGTCACAGGACCAGGGCAGGAATATTTCATAACTCAGGTGAGTGCTTTCTCTCATCAGTGACCTTTTCCCCCAAGTGCTGTATTACGTAAGAATGACAGCTGCAAGACCGTCATAGAATCATCTTTAAATGACCAGCTATCTAGATTCAAATATTCCAGATGTCAGTCCAATCTGCAAAACCTAAAATTTCACTCCATAAATCACTTCTGTCTCTAACATTTTAAGCATGACCAGAGATGAAAAACAAACACAAAAGACAAATAAGTCAGGAACTCCATCGTGCCAGCGAAGTTACACTTGTGTGGAAAGTGGCTTCTTCATCCTTCCACTCTCCATCTGCTGAGCTACAGTTTTTATACAGAATGCCTTCATTGAGCTGAGGAGAGGCAATGTCAATTTAGAGGCTAATTTTGCTCTTTGGGGAAAGAGGAGCCTGAGGATGTCTGGACCAAACCTGGCCCATGAGCTCCAGTCCATGTAAAACAAGATATTTCAAAGGGATTCTTCTGTAGCTATAGAAACCACTCTACAATTTTGGCCTTTCATATAAGCTATGGTGAGACCATAGATCTTTTTCAGGTCTTAGACTTCAAAGAATCACAGAGGATTTAGAGAATTTTCAAAGTTTTTTTTTTTTTTTTATTTTCTTGCATTAAACTTTATTTGCTTCATTATGAACAGACTTGAAAATATAGTAAAGAAAATTAATCCCCTAATCCTTACAAAGCACAGGGACCATTGTTAATTTTTGGACTTTTAATTTTTGGCACATTTCCCTCTAGTCTTTTTTTCAGGCATTTTTATTTTTATTTTTTAATTTTTTTAATTAAATTTTTTTTTAATTTAGTGACTCATCAGTTACATATAGCACCCAGTGCTCATCATAACAAGTTCCCTCTTTAATACCCATAACCCATTTATACCATCCACCACCCACCTCCCTCCATTAACCCTGTTTGTTTTCTATCATTAAGAGTCTCTTATGTAAGGGTGCCTGGGTGGCTCAGTTGGTTAAGCATCCAACTTTGGCTCAGGTCATGATCTCACAGTTGCTGAGTTTGAGCCCTGCATCAGGCTCTGTGCCGACAGCTCAAGCTGGAGTCTACTTCAGATTCTGTGTCTCCCTCTCTCTCTCTGCCCCTCCCCCGCTCATGCCCTCCCTCTCTCTCTATCAAAAATAAACATTAAAAAGAATTTATAAAAAAAATTACAAGAGTTTCTTATGTTTTGCTTCCCACTCTCTCTCTTTTTTCCTTTCCATATGTTCATCTGTTTTTCTTCTTTAATTCCACATATGAATGAAATCATATAGTATTTGTCTTTCAGTGACTGATTTATTTTTGTTAGCATAATACTGTCGAGCTCCCTCCACGTCTTTGGAAATTGCAAGATTTCACTCTTTTTGTTTTTTTTTTAATGTTTGTTTATTTATTTTGAGAGAAAGAGTGCAAGCATGAGAGGGACACAGAGAGAGAGAGAATCCCAAGCAGGCTCTGTGCTCAGTGCAGAGCTACATGTGGGGCTCCATTTCATGAATGTGAGATCACAACTATGATATCACAACCTGAGCAGAAATCAAGAGTTGGAGGTTCAACCAGTTGAGCCACTCAGGTGCCCCATGATTTCATTCTTTTTGATGGCAGACTAATATCCCATTGTGTGTGTATGTGTGTGTGTGTGTGTATGTATATATGTATGTATGTGTGTATATATCATATCTCCTTTATCCATTCATCAGTCTGTGGACATTTGGGCTCTCTCCACATTTTGACTATTGTTGATAATGCTGCTATAAACATTGGAGCACATGTACACTATGAATCTATATTTTTTTTATCCTTTGGGTAAATACCTAGTAGTGCAATTGCTGGATCATAGGGAAGTTCTATTTTTGACTTTTTGAGGAACCTCCATACTATTTTCCACAGTGACTGCATCAATTTGCATTCCCACTAATACTGTAAGAGGGTTGCTGTTACTCCACATCCTCGCCAACATCTGTTGTTTCCTGTGTTGTTAATTTTAGCTATTCTGACAGGAGTGAGGTGGTGTCTCATTGTGGTTGTGATTTGTATTTCCCTGATGATGAGTGATGTTGAGCATCTTTTCATGTGTCTGTTAGCCATCTGGATGTCTTCTTTGGAAAAATGTCTATTCATGTTTTCTCCCTATTTCTTAACTGGATTATTTATTTTTCAGGGTGTTGAATTTGGTAAGTACTTTATAGATACTAACCCTTTATCTGATATGTCACTTGCAAATATATTCTCCCATTCTGTAGACTGCCTTTCAGTTTTGTTGGTTGTTTCCTTCACTATACAGAAGCTTTTTATCAAGATGAAGTCCTAATAGTTCATCTTTGCTTGTTTCCCTTGCCTCTAGCAACATGTCTCATAAGAAGTTGCTATGGCCTCGGTCAGAAAGGTTTCTGCCTATGTTCTCCTGTAGAATGTTGATGGTTTCCTGTCTCACATTAGGTCTTTCATCCATGGTGAATTTATTTTTGTGTTTTGGGTAAGA